GTGCTATGAGTACCAAACTTCGTCTAAAACTTCCTAGACAGATGAAGTTCATTTACAACGCCTTTGTCTAAAACTTCCTAGACAGATGAAGTTCATTTACAACGCCTTTGTCTAAAACTTCCTAGACGGATGTAGTTCATTTACAACGCCTTTGTCTAAAACTTTCTAGACAGATGTACTTCATTTACAACGCCTTTGTCTAAAACTTTCTAGACAGATGTAGTTCATTTACAACGCCTTTGACTAAAACTTCCTAGACAGATGTAGTTCATTTACAACGCCTTTGTCTAAAACTTCCTAGACGGATGTAGCTCATTTACAACGCCTTTGTCTAAAACTTTCTAGACAGATGTAGTTCATTTACAACGCCTTTGACTAAAACTTCCTAGACAGATGTAGTTCATTTACAACGCCTTTGTCTAAAACTTCCTAGACGGATGTAGTTCATTTACAACGCCTTTGACTAAAACTTTCTAGACAGATGTACTTCATTTACAACGCCTTTGACTAAAACTTTCTAGACGGGTGTAGTTCATTTACAACGCCTTTGACTAAAACTTTCTAGACGGGTGTAGTTCATTTACAACGCCTTTGTTTAAAACTTCCTAGACAGATGTAGTTCATTTACAACGCCTTTGAAGTATTTTCATGCTACTCTTTATTTTTAAAAGTTAAGTAAATTATATATGTTTGTTTTTATCCCATTGCATTCTCAACTAATCCATTTACAACGCCTTTGTCTAAAACTTCCTAGACAGATGTAGTTCATTTACAACGCCTTTGTCTAAAACTTCTCAACTAATCCATTTAGAACGACGGGTTATGATGAAAGTTGTTTTGGTTATAAGATTTACATTTTAGCTGAATATCTTGATGAAACTCAAGTAATTAACTATGTTTGCTAAAGTACACTAATTATATAAGTTAAGCCTAAATAGAAGAAACCTCTCTAGGTATTTATTTTGTTCGTCCCAACAGATGAGTCGAAGTCTTTTGTGTACTGATACGTGAACTAATGGACGACTTGGAAAACTACAGCATTAACAGCCATCACACTATAAGTACATTCAATTCGTAAATTATATTCAGGTCTATATCAACTTTAACGGCCGTGTTGAGCGCTGATACATTTAAGTTCGTTGAAGCAATCAGTTCCTGTTCATTTACGTTGTGCAATGATATGGGAAGAACAATAGCAAAACAAACTTACGTTGTCATATGGATTGTTTGTTTGTTTTAATTATGCACAAAGCTACACAAGGGCTATCTGTGCTCTGCCCACCACGAGTATCGAAACCCGGTTTCTAGCGTTGTAAGTCCGCAGACTACCGCTGTGCCACTGGGGGGGGCGCCGTCATAAGGAAATGATATGTGAATAATTTTACTTTCTTAAAAGAGTTAAATTTTAGTGAATGAAATTACTTATTTGTCACTAAATAGTGACGATATATACATATATATATTTAAGCTACAAAAATTTGTATAAAACAGATTACGTTATCAGGAATAATAGCGTGAATTTTACACAGGTTATCCAAACTTTTCCTCTGTTTCTGCATGAAATTACAGAGAAAAAACATTTGGATTTCTAAACTCTTGGTCACCAGAAATAATTTTTTAATAACCTTAATTTAGCTCGCATTAAAATATAATATAAATAAAACAATAAGTCCATATTCAACGAAGAAGATGTGTGTGTGTATGTATGTTATTTCCGTTTGTTTTGGCCCGGCATGG